TAGCATCGGTGGGAATTTGTTATTGCAGCAGGTATATTGTTGGCAGTGGTGGCATATTAATTTGCATCGGTCTGGATGTGTTAGCACGGACAGTGGGGGGGGGGGGGGTTGTAGATGAAGGCTCTGCCCGTTTGTGGTCGGGGTGGCGGCGTTGTCATATTGGGGTGGTGGTTGAGACGAGCGGACCAGCGGCGGCGACGAAGTTTACACTTCCCTTCGTTTCAATGGCATCCTCCATTTCCTTTGGCGGGCAGCGAGCAGGCTGGCGGCGGCCTCGGCCTTCCACTGCGGATGCGCTCTGCATTGCCGCACGCTATTCGCCTTCTCCACCTTCGCTCGCCCTCCACCTACACCCTCAACGCATTCTAGAGCGCCAGCTCTTGCGCCGACGAAGATGGATACGACTAATTCGTCAGAAAAATAACGAATGAAAGGAGTCGATCCAAGTTAATTAAATAGAAAGCATTTTTTTTAATCTAGGGCTTTTTTCAGTCGACTGCCGGTAACCCTTAACGCACGATTAGACGTGGAATTCGACAATTCACTGGATACCAATACATATGCGGCTTCCTTCGGTCTGGGGTCAGCAGAACTCGAGGCCTTCCGCAACAACTGATGCATGAGAGACAAGGGACAACTAATCAAAAGGCGGAACTCGAACCTGCGACCCTTCAGATCAAAGCTCTGAGTCGGTACTCGCTCTTAGCCACCCCGGCGATCCAGATCGGCGTTGAAAGGAATTAATATAACCAATTTTCATCGTTCGAGGAAATGTTCGAGAGTGAATACTGTATGTTTGCAGTGGTGAAATATTTGTCGTTCCCCTATAAACCGTCCTACAGCCCTTCCCCGCGTCTTCCCCCACAGCGCCTGGCCACCGTCCACCTGCCGACTGTCGCCGCCTTCGCGCTCGTCTCTCACTCCGCCTGCCGCCCCCTTCCTCCCCCTGCATATCCACTATTGCCGCTCCTTTTCCGTCGGGCGCCACGCCGCCGAGGCGTCTACACGATGGGCGCCCTCTGTGCCAGCCATCGGCCGCCGTCGCCTTTGTTACCGTCCCCACTTGCTCGGTCGCCTCGCTTTGCGCCGGGCGGGCGCTGCCGCGGCTGTGGAAATTTCCGCGAGGCTAGCTGGCTTACACTTGGAGCTGCGATTAACCGCAACGCATCACGACCAGCTCGAAAAGAAAGTGATTGATTAGGCAAAATTAGGGCAAAATAATTAAATCAGTATTTCAATTTGTAAAGCTATTAATTCGTCGAGATAAATATGTATGTCGTAGCCTTCTTTTGTTACTTATGACATTATTTGTCTGAAAGAAATTGATTAATAGAAAATGCAATTTTGTGTAAAAAAAGATGGCAAAATATGTGCATATGTTTGTATTTCTTCGAATATTCCTAAGAAAAAAACAACAAAAGAAAATATGAAAAATAAAAAATTGTGTTTAAAACTACTCTACACAAGCATTTTCAGAGCACAAAATGAAAATCAATCAGACCCTAGAAGTAATTAGTTACACCGACATTCACTACACGCGAGAGTTTTTATTTGATATATAAAATACGCTTGTAATACAAATAATGTTGTTTACGAAGAGTAGGTGTTTAATGGAAGAGAAGTACCGTGTAGCCAACTACGATTCCCGGTGGGGAGGGTGTAAAAGGAAAAATGAGCAAGCACGTGGTTGTAATACTTCTGCTTCATAAGCATTGCCCCATCCTTGATTTCGAATACCCGGTGCCTATGAAGCAGATTCACAATTCACGAGGAAGGTCCAGTGGTTATAGAAACGCAGTAGCATAATATTGTTTTGTAAGAAAGATCATTCCAGTAACAGTTATTGCAAACTCGCATCAGAAATGTTCTGTGTCGTCGTATAGATATATTAAAATGTAACGAAATATGTACAAGAAACATATAAAAATACCAATGAAACACACACACCGACATTCAACAGGCAACATAATAACAATAAACAACGACAACAACATAATGAATCACTTTAGAGAAACTAAAAATTATGATTTTGGTAAGTGATTTGTTTAAAAAAAACAACAACACTGATTTACAATAAAAATGAGAGGAGTAATTTTCCTTGTCCATATGTAAATATCCTCAAAAACAAACCAAAATGTTTGCAACAATCGAATCGGCGGCGCACTCCTCGAGTTTCGCAAGCATTTTATCGCATGACGTAAGATATTGATTAGACTCCGATATCAAATAATCATATGACCGATAGAGTGTACGGGTTTCAAACATCGTGCTTCTTCGCACCGAACCTTCTGAACAGAACCAATATAACTTAGTTTATCTTTATTTCTGTCATAACCAATCTTCACACTAATTCTCATTGACCTAATTTGTCTTCTAACCTAAATAGGTGAGGAATAATTCTCATTGACCTAATTTGTCTTCTAACCTAAATAGGTGAGGAATAAATCAAATATGTTTATTTTCTGTTTTGATGTTGAAATGGCCCATTAGTCGCCGCTTAGTAATGATCTTATTTCTGCTAACATGCTAGCATCAAATCAGCATGAGGAGAAAGGGAACAAGTCAAAAATTCCATTTTCCCCCTTTATGTTGGAATGTTGTTCTTTAAGACGAGGTAAATTGCACTGTGAAAAAAGTAATAACTTCTTAACTGTGTTCAGACTATCATTGGTGAATTCACACTGCAAAATTAAACAGGATAATATAACGTGTCAGTATTATTTCATGTTTCCTTCCTCCTGAAACGAGGCAAGACATTTCTTGTTTCCTTTTCCCTCAGGCCGATTTAATTATATTATTTTGCTTACGTTCAAGTCGTAAAAATATTTCTTTCAGAGCATAGATCGTTTCTAATCATTCATGATAAGAACACGTCTATTTATAATAATTCTGAAAAATAATTATCATATTATTAAGAATTTATTTACATGATGAGGCACTTCCGCTAATGGTTTGTGCTGTTCGATGAAGCACCCTTCAACAAATACTCGAGTTAATTCAAAAGAGAATCTATCAACGGCTTTCAAAAGTCAAACCTTAGAATAATATTTACATAAATACTAAAGAGAGTTTTCAGAGAAGTAGAAATTATTGCAATTTCTATCGTTATAGCTCGGCGATTTCTTTTTTTTTTTTGTTGTTGTTGGCACAATTCAAACTGTATGTATCTTTATTTCATTTTATTATTATTTTAATAATTATAATAATAATAATAATAATAATAATAGTTATTATTATTATTATTACTTATCTAAGTTGGCCCTATAGTGAAATTTTTAAGATTTTTATCTTTATGACGTAAATTGAATACGATAATGGTATATTTATTTTGTGTATAGACTTAGTAGCAAAAGTTGTCCTGAATGTTTTAGTTATTGCTTAATGTATTTGACAGTTTCGGTAAGTTATTTGAATTTCTCGTTTCCACGATTCCAATAACATTTTGCGCTTCGTGAATAAAATAATTTGGGATTTCAGGATTCGTGATTTTTAGGCGTATTTTCTTTCTTTCTTTCTTTCTGGGTATTGAAATATATATATAT